GAGAAAGAAAGTGTGAGAGAGAAAGAGACATAATGTGGAATGAGATGAGTTTGTCTTTTTGTTTTTTTGTGTTACCTGAGAGAGAGAGAGAGCTGTGAGACTGGGTCAGTCACCTGTAGCTCAAGCTGTCTGTGTTTTGTGTTACCTGAATGACGCAGAGAGCTGTGAGGAGTGGGCCAGTCACCACACCTGTAGCTCAAGCCGTTCTGATGATGTTATGTTCACCATGCTTCTATCCGATCACTAGATACGTTCTGTAATTGCTAAATTGGGATTGCTAAAGCGGAATACAGAATAACATCAACAGTACGTGTTGGCGATATCGAAGGTGAAAGGTTAATTTAAAAAAATAATAACATGAATAGCACATGTCGATGACGTCAAAGGTGAAAGGTTACATCTAGAATAACTTCTACAACACAAGTTGGTGACGTCAAAGGTGAAAGTTTACATACAGAATAACAGCGACAGCTCAAGCGGGTGATATCAAAGGTCAAGCAATGTATGTAAATATTTAAACCAAGAATATGAAACACACATATGATTACGATGAGCCAATACTAAAGCCCAGCATCTCAATGTACCATGTAGGGAATGAATGTTTCTATCAGAAACTAGACCATTTATCCGGCTTTGCCCGAGTGAACATTCAAAAGGAAACAAACTTCTGAAGAGCTGAAAGCCTACACGTGAAATTAGGGCCATGTTAAAAAAAAAACTTCGCGAAACTACCCATTACAGTTTTCACATTTTCTCTTACGCCCCCTTAATGTCAGCTCCTGAACTATGTGATAATTTAAATCAAAATTTTAGCCACACCAACCAACCCCAACCAATGTTCTCTCTAAGGTTTGTTAGTTCGTGTGCAAAATCATAAAGTTGTGTGCACATTTTTACAGCATCAATTTTTTGGTGCGCAAAATATTCAGTCTACAGACACTTAAGTGGAAATTAGCTGCGTGGTGCTCAAAACTGCGGGGCGGCGTCTGTGAGATTGCAGCGCGGCCGCGCAGCCTGTAGGGAACATTGCCCGACCTATAGCACGCAACGAGCTGTTTTTTTTCTAAAAATAAAAAGTATCTATAATAATATTTACCGAGTGGATCTTTTCCGCTCCGCCGTCATTGCGCACCGTGGTGACTGCTTTACCCGTCGCGAGCACCAAAAGCACACAAAAGAACACAATCGTTTCCCACCGCAGTAAATAAGATGGATAAGATTCTTTTATTGATTTTATTCATTTATTGACATGGAAATATTTCTTTATTGCATTGTACTTTGACATTTTTTCAGCACATAAATAAAACAGTTTGAACACAAGGCATCCACATTAAATTATTTCACAGTCATTCAGTGAACTCTCTTAGCCATATCATGAACTTGTTACTTCCCATTAAGTTTATTGACTTCTTCTTCTTCTTCTATATCTTAAGGGCCCACGATCAATTTATTGATCATTTTGGCTCCTATGCATGTAGATGGAATTTGCAATGTTTCTGTTCCTGGTGTTGATGAGGAAATTTCACAGATTTCCAGTGCCACTTTGTGAGGGAATCATGCACTGGGGGTTTGAAGGCTTGAGGCAATAGACACAAATGTGTCTAGTGTTGTCGCCTCAACCGTTCCTTTTGAAAGATTGTTCCAGTCCCTGATTGTCTTGGGCAGGAATGAGCAGCTCCTATACTGGCTTCTTGCTGGTATGAGCCTGAATTGCCTGTCATGGCCTCGTCGCTGTCTATAGGGGAGAGGGACGAGTTTCTGTTTAATACTGGAACAGTGGACCAGCCCATTATTTATCTTGTACATCATGGAGAGCCTGGATTGTCGTCGTCGTTCCTCCAATGGTGACCAGCCTCGTGTTTCCAGCATGCTGCCAACACTAGAGGTATTCCTATAGCGTTTTAGGACAAAGCGTGCTGCTCGTCGCTGGACCGCCTCCAACCTGTCAATGCTCTTCTGGGTAAATGGGTCCCAGACTGAAGATGCATAATCTAAGATCGGACGTGGAACACACTGATTAACTAATACATATTGGGGAACAGGAGAATTTGTATATCTTTCAGTCCTCACCCTGAGAGAAAGAATTTGTCCCGATCAGGCCGATCCTAAGTATCTGTGAAGAAGAGGGTGTGATATATCATCCAAAAATTGTTTAGTTTTACTATAACATCTTTCTTCAAATAGTTCTTCGAGTAAAGCATGTTAAGTTTGTGTTATGTTCCTCGCTTTCTTGATTAAGTTGGTTTATTCAGTGTTAAATATCAGACGATGAATTTCCACACCAGCAGGTAATACTGAATTAAGTAGGCTTCCAATGTTGCACTTTAAAATAAATTAACTACTTGTTTGTTTACGTCAAAATTGTACAGTGTTTTAAGGTAGAAAAGTCTTTGGTCGAATTTTGTGTACAGTTTTTTCCAGTTTACCAAAGAAAAAATGACCGGTAAATCGTAAGCTTATTGGAATGGAGCGCCATCTGGACTTACTGTTCGAGATTATGCACGTCTTCCCGTATTTTACATGCGTAACGTGGCCACCCCCCCCCCCCCCCCACTAGTATCAACCTTTTTTAATGCACAATTTTCTGAGAAGATGGAAGACAATTTTATTTATAAACCTGGCATCAACAAAAAATGCGCACCGAAATCTTTCCTTTAATAGATGTTTGAAAGTGCATTGTTCTGAAGCAAGACTTATTAAAATAAGTGCACCAAAAATAACTTAACTTGAACGTCCCTGGACGATATTTAAAAATATAAACTTAATTTTTTTTTAATTACAGTTACAGCTTTTTGGATGAAGGAATTTTGAGAACACATTCCAGGAACCACGTGTGGTCTGACCATGTCAAATTTGATTGATGTTTTATAAAGAGAGAGCCCCCAGCACAGTCTGTCCCTATTGAATCGAGAAACCAGTGATAGCACCCAGCACAAACTGTACCTATTTGATGGAGAAACCAGTGAGATCTTGCATTATAAAAAGGGTTGGACTGCAATAAAGCTTTGAAATAGATTAATTAGACACCAACAATTAGTGTCTATATAAAATCAATATAAGGTAAGCTTTAATGAGATCTCCCAGCACAGCCTGTACCTATTTGATGGAGAAACCAGTGAGATCTGCCAACACAGCTTGTCCCTATTGAATGGAGAAAACTGAGATCACCCAGCACAGTCTGTCCCTATCGTATGGAGAAACCAGTGATATCACCTAGCACAGCATGTTCCTATAGAATGGAGAAACTAGTAATAGCACCCAGCATAGCATGTCCCTCTGAAATGGAGAAAATTGAGATCACCTAGCACAGCATGTCCCTATCGAGTGGAGAAACCAGTGATAGCACCTAGCACAGCCTGTACCTATGTGATGGAGAAACCAGTGATAGCACCTAGCACAGCATGTCCCTATCGAATGGAGAAACCAGTGATAGCTCCCAGCACAGTCTGTACCTATGTGATGGAGAAACCAGTGATAGCACCTAGCACAGCATGTCCCTATCGAGTGGAGAAACCAGTGATAGCTCCCAGCACAGCCTGTACCTATGTGATGGAGAAACCAGTGATAGCTCCCAGCACAGCCTGTACCTATGTGATGGAGAAACCAGTGATAGCTCCCAGCACAGCCTGTACCTATGTGATGGAGAAACCAGTGATAGCTCCCAGCACAGCCTGTACCTATGTGATGGAGAAACCAGTGATAGCTCCCAGCACAGCCTGTACCTATGTGATGGAGAAACCAGTGATAGCTCCCAGCACAGCCTGTACCTATGTGATGGAGAAACCAGTGATAGCTCCCAGCACAGCCTGTACCTATGTGATGGAGAAACCAGTGATAGCTCCCAGCACAGCCTGTACCTATGTGATGGAGAAACCAGTGATAGCTCCCAGCACAGCCTGTACCTATGTGATGGAGAAACCAGTGATAGCTCCCAGCACAGCCTGTACCTATGTGATGGAGAAACCAGTGATAGCTCCCAGCACAGCCTGTACCTATGTGATGGAGAAACCAGTGATAGCTCCCAGCACAGCCTGTACCTATGTGATGGAGAAACCAGTGATAGCTCCCAGCACAGCCTGTACCTATGTGATGGAGAAACCAGTGATAGCTCCCAGCACAGCCTGTACCTATGTGATGGAGAAACCAGTGATAGCTCCCAGCACAGCCTGTACCTATGTGATGGAGAAACCAGTGATAGCTCCCAGCACAGCCTGTACCTATGTGATGGAGAAACCAGTGATAGCTCCCAGCACAGCCTGTACCTATGTGATGGAGAAACCAGTGATAGCTCCCAGCACAGCCTGTACCTATGTGATGGAGAAACCAGTGATAGCTCCCAGCACAGCCTGTACCTATGTGATGGAGAAACCAGTGATAGCTCCCAGCACAGCCTGTACCTATGTGATGGAGAAACCAGTGATAGCTCCCAGCACAGCCTGTACCTATGTGATGGAGAAACCAGTGATAGCTCCCAGCACAGCCTGTACCTATGTGATGGAGAAACCAGTGATAGCTCCCAGCACAGCCTGTACCTATGTGATGGAGAAACCAGTGATAGCTCCCAGCACAGCCTGTACCTATGTGATAGCTACCAGCACAGCCTGTACCTATGTGATAGCTCCCAGCACAGCCTGTACCTATGTGATAGCTCCCAGCACAGCCTGTACCTATGTGATGGAGAAACCAGTGATAGCATCCTGTACAAGAATATTGACAGTTTTCTAATTTGACATTTGTACTTTGTTATTTCAGAAGCATTTAAACCCGTTTAAGTTTAAGAACAAACAAACAAAAAAACAAACAAACAAACAAAAACATTTTTTTTAAAACTAAACAAAGTTTAAGTGGCGCCCAGATAAGCCACCACCCCCCCTCCCACCCTTGATATGCATGTCCTCATAGTCTTACCTTATCACCGATTGTTTTCCTGTCAGAAAAGTGTTTTGTGAGTGTCTGCGGAGGGGGGAGCAGAGATGACACTTGGAAAAGTTAGAAATGTAGTCCCAACAAATACTTTTTATCACGTCTGTAGGTGGCCAAAAAACCCGACCTCTCGACGTCAACAAGATAACGTTTATCTGTTACTGCGCCTAAACGCCTCTCAGTCCCCTATAAAACAGCAGTACGATCCTATACAAAATTCAATCGCCGTTAGAGTCTCACAAGTCTAATTGTCAAATATCTAACATTTAAACAATGAATTTCAAGGTAAGTCTAGTATTGCACAATGTTTCTGTATTTTTCTGACAGTGCAGTATTCAAACCGAAATTAATTGTTTTCCACACGGGGGAATATGCTCATTTAATCCGGTTTTTTTAGGACTCTTTAACTTCTGCTGTGGACGGATTAGATCTAGATCAGTGGTTCCCAAACTTTTCATATTGATAGCCATATGCATTTTTTCGGTAAATAAGCGGGCCACAATGCTACAAAATTATTTTTAAATATATTTAAATACAGTAAAATAAATATGGAGGCCTCCCTGGCCACTTTCTGAGAGCTGACGGGCCACAAGTGGCCCGCAGGCCGGGTTTTTGGCAACCCCTGATCTAGATGGTGAAGTTATTGCTAACAATGTGACCAGAAGTTGGAACATTTGAGACCTGTGAATGCCAATATTTTATAAATTTTGTACACTTAACGTACGCGCCTTTGGGTCGCGGGGAGTGGATAGGGGAGGGGGGGTGATCAGAGGCGTAGCGAGGGAGTGCAGGGGGGGACAGATGTCCCCGGGCGCCAGGTAGTTAGAGGCGCCAAAATGAGCTTTGATAGTATTTTATTGATGAAAATAATGGGTTTGAGAGTTAAAAATAAGAAAAGGGGGCGCTTTAAAATGGATCTTGTCCCCGGGCGCGAATCTTGTCCCCGGGCGCCAAACACCCTCGCTACGCCGCTGGGTGTGATGCAATTGTAGATGTTACTGACCACGGCCTCTGACTTATGAAATATTTCAAGAAGGATAAGATGCACTTTAAAATTATATATACCGTTACTTCTTTAGCTAACGCTTTTCGTTGTCCACATGTCTGTACTGAATAGTGCCTGCATCCAAGCACTGGATTGTTGCTCCTTTCAATCAAGGATCAAGAGAAGTCTGGGCCACCCGGCTTCTTTTCTTTTTAAAACCACCGTAGATTTTGACATTTCCAATTGATAGTGATAGTTATAAACAGTGGCGTATTTAGGGGAGGGGGGGTGTGGACCGCACCGGGTGACGCCACCCTAGCTACGCCTCTGGTTATAAAATGGCATTAAATTTTAATGAATGAGCTAAAAAATAGCACGTGCCCTGTTTTGAATATAACTTAGAACGTGTTGCTTGAGAATGCACAACTGTTCAATCTTCTGTTTGTATACTCCAGTGCACCGCCTTGGTTTTGCTTGCATGTGTGCCACTGATGCTTGCGGTCGGCATCCCAGGAGGGCAGGTCGACTACCAAACGACGCTGACTGACCCCAATGTCATTTTTGCCGTCAACGCCATCAACGAATATTACAGCAAACAGGGGGACAACCAACTCAGGACAGCGGTCAAACTTATTCATGCCACGTCACAGGTAAGGAGTTCAGATGACAATCAGGAATGGGGGCAGGTGCGGTCCTCCTAGGCTCAGCGTGGTCCGTCTGGGCTTAGCGTGGTCCGCCTAGGCTCAGCGCAGTCCACCTGGGCTCAGCGCGGTCCACCTAAGCTCAGAGCAGTCCGCCTAGGCTCAGAGCAGTCCGCCTAGGCTCAGCGCAGTCCGCCTGGGCTCAGCGCGGTCCGCCTAGGCTCAGCGCGGTCTGGTTTCTTCATTCAAGTATTACAAGTTGCTGTTAAATTTCGGTAAAATCCCCTTGCCCCTGTAACTTACAGTGTAAGTTAAAGTAAGTTGAAGTCTAATGTAACAAAAGTTATTATTTATTATTTACACATGTGAGTGTTTACGAATGATATTTTTAATATATTTTTACCAAGGATTTCTGTACATGTTTCATATACAGCTAAATGTTTTCTTTCCTATCATCACAGGTTGTATCTGGGGCAATGTTTAGATATACCATCGAAGTTCAAGTAGGAGATAAAGTAAGTATAGGTTCACCTACCAACATGGTCAATTAAGGTGGCCATCAGTGGGACAAAACTAATTAGAGCGTTGATTAGTATTCAGCAATGAGGAGTTTGTGATGACTTAAACTGACCAACAAAAAATTTGTTGTTTCAATGAATATTAGATCACAAATCAGGCTGAGAAGCTATTTGAAATAAGAGTGCATGGACCGAGATAGTCTGTTGTTTGTCCTTCGCATGCGAAGATGACCAATGCTATATTCAACGGTGAGTAAGCAGGTGACCTAGTCCTAGTTGTGAATGGAAAGCTTTCCCACACGAGGGACACTCGTTGTTTTGGGTCCTGTTTGAATATGAGTCGATTCTGCTTTTCCTTACTGTGCGCTTATTCTTTGAGGATTGCGCTCCAACAACGGAGTCTGCCTCGCCAGCTTGTACGACCCATAGCAAGTGTTTACTACGGATCAAGGTTAATATCCATGGACTTGAGTGCAGCTAATTTTAGACAGTCATTGAAGCATTTTTTCTGCCGACCAGCTGAGTATGCTGGGTAGATACAATTTGCATGAAAAGTTATAATCTTGGCGCCCTCTGAACACGTCTATGTGGAAAGTGGATGCGGTACATCTCTTATGACGTGACTCATACAAACTTAATTCTTCAGCATTACGGATAAGCCTAATGTAGAATTCAGAGAAGCCTGTCGAATTTGGTCAAGAAAAATACAGGGAGGACTGCGTTCAGCAGGAAGCAAAAAAAAAAGAAGAAATATACCGGTACACTAGACAGGAAATATACCGGTACACAAGACAGGAAATATACCGGTACACAAGACAGGAAATATACCGGTACACAAGACAGGAAATATACCGGTACACAAGACAGAGGAAAACCTGAAGGAAGCCAATGCAAAAAGTGGACGTTTCCTCAACGAATCTTTTGACAGCAAGCAGACAGAAACATGCAAACTTTGCTTGCATAGACAAGTAGTTGACAGGAAATGACATATCTATATAATACAGGAAATGACATATCTATATAAACAGGAAATGTCATATCTATATAATACAGGAAATAATACAGGAATATAATTGCTAGCTAGGTTTTTCTGTCTCTGTATTTCTGCTGTCGAAGAAGTCTTGGCCTGTCATCTACTTTTTTGTACCGGTATCGTCCATATTCAGGTCTTCCTCTACCGTGTGTATCTTTCCAATTAGCTCATCTCGCTTATGGTGAATAGACGTGAGAAAACTTCCTTTTTTTTAAAAAACATTTTTTTTCTAATTTAGTTACCCGATCCCGCGACACAAACGTATAACACAATGATCAATATATGCTGACCATAGGCCCCTATATATACTTTTTTTTATTTCCAGACGGAGGTTTGCACCGTTGCCGTTTGGAGCCGACCATGGTTGACTGGAAATGAAGCCACTCAGCTGCACGAAACCCCTTCATGTGGACCCCTCGCTTTATAAATGAACACAACCCTGAAAGTAGATCGTTACTGATAGCCACACATTTAGCTCTCATATTTTTACTAAATTTTACACATTAAAAATGTAATATCTTAAAAAATTGTGTAACTGGATTTTGATTTGTTTGTCCTTTATTGTTTCGAGACGTTATGACGGTACAATGATAAATTCTAGGGAGCGGATTAAGAGAAAAAAATGACAGATGCCAAATTTTGACATCTCTTGCACTAACAAAGTGTGCTAACGTCATGACCAACCATCAGCAGTGCACACACAGACACACATTAAATAAATCTTATATTGTTAAAAGCCTAAACGTATATGACTATTTACACTCGACAAAATTGTTTAAAATAATGTAAGTCCAAGTCTATTTTTAAGCTTAAGATTCTAATAGAAAAAACATGATTGTTAACATCAACTAATCTAAACTCACCCCTCCCCTTGTCAACAAATTCCAAACCCCCTCACCTACCCCCCTATTTTGTTGACGTAATTAATGGACGCCCCCATAGCTAAAATTTAATTGAAAAACTTGGTTCAAATTTCTTTGAAAGCATATTGAACATAGAATAAAGCTTTATTTAAAATGCGTGCGTCCCACAAAAGCGCACAGTGAACATTTCTTTTTAATTTATTACCAAGAAGAGGTTTGAATGTGAAAGAAAGCACACCGTTCTAAATAAAGTTGATAAAGGCTTACACAACCAAAAATAACAACTTGCACGTCCTTGGAAGACATTTAAAAGTATGTTTGTACTCTTTCCCTCTGCATTTACAATTACAGCTCTTGTGATGAGATTATTACCAAACGTGTCCGCCTGGTGGGATGTTAACGTTTTGAATTAGTATGTGGCTTGTGTGGTGTATCCTCTCTCACTGTACGGTAATGTACTTACGGGGTCTTTAAACTACAGCACACGGGCGAGATATGGCCAACAAGGGCTCCTTAATGAAGTTTTATTGCAGCCCGCCTGGCCACTGGAGGGTACCTGGCTAGCAGCGATCAATATGGAAACGGACATTTGATAATGTAACGGTACCAGTGCTTCCTTTGAAAAAATCTAAAGACTTTGCCCCTATGAAATTTACAAGGATCATCTTAAATTTTACCCACTTTTTTCTTTTGAAAACATTTTTGCACATTAATTGTCTAAGTGGACTATGCAATTGCAATGTTTCTTTATATTTATTGACACACTGGGACGAAATTGCGTCTTCTATTAATTAAAAATTAATTCAAGTCCATCTTTTTACCTATCGCCTGGAAATCATACCAGAGTAGTTACAATTGAAAAAAAAAATCACCCAACATTTTGATACCACGACATAAAAAGTCTTACCCTACAAACCGCTTTAAACAAGTGTCGTTACATCTAAGTAGGTGAAGCACAAAGGTCTTACCCACATGGGATCTGTAAAGGTTTTTGGTACAGTATCTTTAGTTGCAATCACGGGCAGAATTTTTCCTGAGCCCTATGGACACCCTAACTTGAGGGTATTGATTTGCACATGTCCACCTACATCTTCAGGCTGACCATTATATGTACCGTAAAATGGGGTGACTTTGCCTAATTAAATACTTATATTGAGAAAGTTGTTTTTCATGATTTTCCAGAGTTCTTTCCCCTAATTTTTTTTTACTTCCTATGATCAATGATAGACGACATGTTGCTTTATGTAGTTTCGCCTTCCTTACCATGCCAATCAATAAGATTTGACTTTTCGAGCTCACTCTGGACATTGATATTTTGCTGATTTATGTGAGTTTAAACTTGCATTTTAAGGTATTATAATATTATAATTTATTTCCCTTTGCATTTAATGTGTATAGTATAAATCTCAGTCTCAGTGATAAAAAGGTTCATTACTTTGTTAGTCAAGTTTAATAAATCCTTACCCGGTATAGCTTTTCTTTCACAGCATGGGGCAAAGTCACCCCACGGACTGATACATTGATTTTTATTGATTTCTCTATTTGTTTTGTTTTTCCAGATCTTAATGCCATGACAAGATAATTCCTATTAACAGTAGCTATAGAGGCTATACTGAAGACACTCAGCTTAATGATAATAGTGAAAATTGTAAAAGATAATCTACAACCAGACCTATAGAAGTCATCTAAAAGTGAAAACACCACAATTTAATAACTTTTTGAACTTAGTAGTAAATGTTACTGTAGCCACAAGAAAACAATTGGAGGGCAAGCACTTTGCCAGAAGAATTAAAGTCAACTTAGTAAAGCACCTAAAAGACATTATCAGATTTTGGAATGCCCCAACTAGAAACAATTTACATTTTGGCCTAAATTTTGTATTATGGACCAATCTTGACAGCGAACTTGCTGTGAAACGATTCCATGATAACAATCTTCGAGATGACTTGGTGAATGGATTTTGTACAACGAGATGAGGATGATATGTGCCTAAGATATAAGCTGAGATAATAACAATAGGAAAGACATTATGATTACAGTTACAGTCTACTGTGACAAATTCACGAATTAACGCCTTCATTACATGGAGTAAATGCGAAAACCTAGGTTGAAGATTTGCCTCGAAAGGATAGATCACAGAGAATCATTTTTTTGTGTGAACTGGTGTTGATATTTTCTTCCAACCTTTCATTACAATAAAATATTATGATCAAACAGTAAGTACACAAAAGAAAATGACAAAACCAAGCAAATAAATAATTTCTACATGCATTGTGCCGTCTTTCACTTTAAAAGGGCAAAGTCACCCAATTTTTCCTAACGTTGAAAAATCTCAAAAAACCTTAATTATCAATTTAATCTGATCAAACTATGAATTAATTCAGCTATAACAACAAAGTGCAGGTACCCACTCTGTACATTAGCATCTTTGTGTTAGTTTTTAGATCAGTTAACATGTTGAAATTCATGCTTAAACTTAAAGGCCAAAAGTAGGCAAAGTCAACCGTTTCACGGTATTGTTTACTTTTTAAACACCATGAACATGTCGGAAAATTGCCAAAGCAATAGTCATACTACCACCTTAAGGTAACAAAATTACAAATAGAAAAGAATTGAATTACAAAAGTTTATTACAAAAGTGATCATTTAATGATTTAAAAAAACCAGATAAATGAACATGATTTTTGTGGAGGAACAGTCTGATGGTGACAATAAAATTACAACAAATGAGTTTACCAAATAAATGCCACAAATGATGGATGTGAACAAATGAAACCTGCTTGATGAGAACACATGAATAGCATTTAAATGGCGCTTTACATCTAAGACAACATTTTTTTAAAAATCTATATTACATCAAAATGTGGAATTGTTAAAAAGCGACTCTACAGTTAAATAAAAGTTGCTCCTCAACATAAGATTAAAACCAAAGAAATTAGTCCTAACACTGTAAAATTTTCCACACCCAAGGAAGACTTGCTAAAATGAGGAGTAAATTCCCGACTAATTCATACTACCATTTCAATCTATAAAAAAAAAAAAATTAAAAAAATACACACTGTTGCCTTGTCCTTGTTAAGTACAATAATTTAATATTTCTAAAATTTAAAAAAAAAAATAACAAATTTTCCACAGCCAAGGAATACTTGCTAAAATGAGGAGTAAATACCCGAATAATTCATACAACCATTTCAATCTATAAAAAAAAAAAAAATTAAAAAAATACACACTGTTGCCTTGTCCTTGTTAAGTACAATAATTTAATATTTCTAAAATTTAAAAAAAAAAATAACAAAGGAGAGATGCTCAGGTAGAGTCAATCATGATTGCTCCAATGGTCGGTCAGTTGATCTCAGCTTACTCCGTCATATCGTCCAGAAAAATTCATCAAACCCCTACCTATTGAAAACAAAACAAAAAAACATTATATCAACAATTTAAAACAGTAAAACTGCATGGATTTTCTGGAAGAAAAAAAAAAGGAGCTATTCTTTACATGGCCATTAATGTTTTCCTGACATTAACTCATTCCCGGCGGTTGCGACTAAATGCGCCATTTAGGGGTTTCGGCGGATGCGTCCAAACGCGCCCTGGCGCATAGGGACACACCTCTTATTTTTAGTTTAAAATGGGAATGAAATCTCACGTCCCTCAAGACTTCCGACTATGGCATGATTTCTGTGTGATTTTAATTTTAAAAATTGAAGTTTTTATCTTGTTTCACTTTAAAACTACATGTGCTTTAATACGGCGCGACTATTTGTGTAGCATGTGTTCGTCCGAGGTGCCAAAAATCGATTTTTTGGCAATTAATAATTATTTTTTTGACGCCATATTTTTGTTAAACCTTATTTGTTGATGCATTCGTCCTGAATTCATTAACATTAGTTAGTATTTAGCAGCTTAAAAAAATAAATAAATAAATATATAAATGTAAATCAATTTCTAAACCGAGTTGCTTCCCTTTTCTCAGGAAAATAAGTACGGAAGTAGAACTGCCGGAGGGAATGAGTTAATATAACAATTCCCAGTCTATTCAAACATTTAAAGTATCTTTTACTTTCAGTCATGAAAAAATATGTACTATTTATTTTCATTTGAAAATATTTGAATATTTTTCATTATGCATGAGAATATTTATTATACTGCCAATGGTAATATCACTATTAAAGTCATAAATGACCATATCCGGAAAATAGTTATAACACAACACCACCCACACCCAAAATTAATTACAAAATGCATGCATACTAAAATTTAGAGGCATAAAAGAACACATTCATTTAAATTTACTATGACATAGATAAGAATTTTTTTCATGCACAAAGGACACCAACAGAAAAATAAACTTAAAAGTTTAAGTTTTTAAGGAAAAGCTGGGGTATATTATTATTATTACTAAGAGGTGCACATAATCTCCTCATACTCATTCAAAGTTTCTAAATGGTAAAAAAAGCACCCATTGTTTCACCTTTCTACTCCTTTTTGTTAATCAACCAAGGCTTGAATTAAATATATATATATATATGTGTACATATATATGTGTGTACATATATATATATATATATATATATATATATATATATATGTGTGTATATATATATNTATATATGTGTACATATATACATTTTTTAAAAAAAGGATTCAACTACTTTAGCATTTTATAAATTCTAAAAAAAAAAAAACAACAAAAATAAAAAAATAAAAGCTAAATGCTATTCCACGCCGGGTTGCTTGCTAATAGAGAATCTTTTGAAGTACAAAAAGCATGCAGGTT